GAACCAAAAGAGATGTTATTTGATACAAGTTTCTACATCTATAAGATACTCAATGGAGTTACATAAAATGGAGTAAGATACTAAACATTAAAAACATGATAGGATTTTGACAAGTGCCACATAAAATGGAGTTACATTCCATGATTATAGAACATGCAAATGTTGAGTAAGATACTAAATAAGATAGTAGTCAAAGAAACCCCCAACACCCAGAAACTCCAAAGTATATAGAACGCCTATTTGAGTGACATTATCAAGTTATACCCAACTAATGAAAAGAAAGGATTGAAAGCAGTTGAAACTCAAACCTGAAGCATCCTACCAGATTTTTTCAACTTAAGCTAAGTTCTACTTGTAACAAACAGAAGAAACTTTGGGATGTTCAATATTGAGCACGGCTTAAAGAATACTTAATCAGTAGGTATCACAAAAAGAACTTCCAAATCAATGATTGAAATAAAATTAGCGACAGTGATTGAAAAAGGCACACAAGCTCCAAGGCACACAAAATACTACAAAAGGGAAAAAGGGATTTACCTGCTCAGTGATGGGAGAAGGCGACAAAGAGGAAGGGTTTATCGACGGGTTAGGGCGGCAGCTTCGCGAGGGGACGGGAAGGGAGCAACTGTGAGAACGACCGATTAGGGCGCAACTTCGCGAGGGGACGGGAAGGGAGCACCGGCGAGGTGGACCAATTAGGGCACAGCTTCGCAAGGGGACGGGAAGGAAGCACCGACGAGGAGGACTGATTAGAGCGGATGGAAGGGAAGCGATGGGAGGGAAGCTGGGTGAAGGAAGCAGGAGGAAGCGATGGGAGGAAAAAGCTTGGATTTGGATTTCAAATCCCACACTTTGGGAAGGATTTCCAAATCCAGCATGTAATGGATTTTAATGAAACCCCAGGATTCCAAATCCCTTCAATTTGGTAAACCAAACATTGGATGCCATTCCAATCCCACAAATCAAATGCACCCTAAGTCCTATAAGGAGGTCTATTAGAACGCTTAAAAATTGAGAGTGTCTTATAAACCCGATTTTATTGTAGTGTCTTATATATGTATTACAAGCACTAAGGTTTATAGCTCACTTGGTAGAACACTTCGTTTACATAAATAAATGATTTTATGCCTTTATTTATTCATTTTAATATTCTTTATTTAAGGCAATAATTATTGAATTATGTGGTTTAAATTTATTTTTTTATTTGGTTATTATTTTCGTACGAACCCGATCTTCTCTCTCTCTCTCTATATATATATATATATAGGGGTTGGTTCAAATGTTAACCAAGATTTTTGTGTTAACTTTGTTAACCAATTTTGGCCATTGATTCTTACAATAAAGGGTTGTGATCAATCATGATAAAAAATTAAAATTTTAAATTTACAATTTCAAAGAACATATGTGAACAAAGGAGAAAAGGGTATTTAAGTAATTTTCTTTTTTATGTAACTCCCATATCATTAATTGGGAGTTACAAAATAAAAATAATTTATTATTTTTATTAATTTATTTTTGTTAATATAAGAACCATATGAACACACACACACGCACATATATATATGAACTATTGTGTCAAATACAAACAAAAATTGACATATATATGAACTTGGACTATATAGCATTTATAAACACAATATGAATATAATAAGAATAGTTGCTACACGAAAGTAAATAAATAAAAAAACAGGTATGAACACAATATGAACAGTTTGTGAAAATAGTTCTTTCATTATGAACACATTCAGGAGCAAACTAATGTTGAGATATGCAGCTAATGTACATTATGAACACAATATGAACAGTTTGTGAACAATAGTTCCTTCATTATGAACACATTCAGGAGCAAGTCAATGTTGAGATATGCAGCTAGTGTACATATGAACACTTATGAACAATTCTTTAACAATTACATATGAATTCGAATTCCGATTGTAGTCGTAGACGATTTTAACCTTTTCATTCTCATTGTTGTCGATCTGTTTTCCAATAGGTTTATCCATATTACTCGGACGATATCGAAATCTTTACAATCGAAAATTCTTTAACAATTACAAAATCAATATCATGATGGATAGAATAATCGAAATTACAAAACATGAACACGTATAAAGAATATCAATATTACATAATCATCAATTATTGAGATTTTTAGATTTGTAACTCCCAAATCAATGATTTGGGAGTTACATAAATGACAAATTACTTAATTATCCTTGTCATTAATATATGAGTTATATGTGACCTAAAGAAAAGATGGAATATAATTGGTTGAGCTTGGTTAACAAAGTTAACACAAAAATCTTGATTAGTATTTGAACCAAGCTCTCTCTTTCCATATATATATGTATATATATGCATGTGTATGTAAAAATATAAAATATCATACATTATTTATTTTTAATAAAATATAAAAGCATAGAGCATATGGGCTCAACTCTCTACTCCTCCCATCAACGAAGTAGTCGAGAAAAAAAACTCAGGACTAGGAAAGAAGACTAGGAACACGTAGTTATGCCAAAGGTACCCCACGTCATATCCTTGTGCTTTTCTAGGCTTTGCTATTGCTCACGACTGGTTTATGGATCTCTCTATGTCTTTTCATAAGAATGAGCAAGTCTCAAAGAGTGCTTCTGAGCTTCGGAGATTCTTCAGGGAAGCTAGGTCAATTGGCAGTCCTTCGTGAGTGCGACACGCCCCTTTTTGTTTGTTATAGTAACTTATCTTCTTTCACCGGTCTGCGAGGCTGTAAAAAGAGAGAAAGGGGCAGTAATCTCATCTAGCAACACTCTAAGACCCTCTTTCCACCCTATTGGCTTTAGGTAAGGGTCTCAGATCATAATTTCAAACTCCCACTCTCCGTCAACCGATTCAGATATCGAAACGATCCAAATAGTCGAGGGGATCATATACGTGAAGAAGGATAATGAGTGAAGATCTGCCCCAGCCAATAGGGACAATATTGGAGGGGGGGGGAATTAAACAAGAACTGAATCATGCTTCCTCTCAGGTAAGAGCATCAGCCTCATTTCCCGGCATGGCTTGCGAGGGCCTTGGACGAAACCAAACCCCCCCCATCCCGAGTAGGTTCCAAACCTGGGTGGCACTATATAACTCAATCCATTATATTATAAGGTGGGAAAATAAAAAGCTCTTCCCTATCTACTTATTATTCGGAGGTGGTAAACTAAAGAGACCCTCCTATGATCATGCTACCACCATAGCCACGAGGTCTATAAACGAAGCAACTTGTCGAGTCTACGAAGCTTCGTAACGCTTCAACTTGGCCACTAAAGAATGTGAAGGCTAGACGAGAGATAATTATATATATTTTTTATGTTTGAGATCGCCCACGAATGACAACTTAGTCTCCTTCTCTGCTTCGACTCAACAAGTTCTATTCAGAATAGGGCAAGAAAGTGAGATCCTTTGAATATGACCAAGGGGATAGAAGCCCACAAAATGGTAAGCTAAGCCAGGGGTCGAGCGTGATGGGCCGGAGCTAGAATTTGAAGGGATTATGCCAAGGCCACATATATTTCAAAACTTTCGGAGATGGGATGGATTGTAAAAGGATCAAACTACCTCTGAGATAATGGAGGTTTTTAACAGAGTTACGTGCAGGACTAAAAGACATGAGAAAATGTTCCCTAAATATTTGATTTTCGGGATGGGTTGTATGATTTTTGATAAACCTCAAGGATCTAAGGGGTTGTTTGATTGAGCCATTAAGCCCAATAAACCACAAGTAAACAGACCCTAAGTTATGTATGGAAAAAGTTGGTCGTACATATAAAGGTAGCTGTATGAGTTAAATAAAACTGTTATCTGTTTGTTGTGCTAAATAATTTATCAGAATGATAAAAATGACTATTTAATCATTCTAGTTATTTTTGGTCTATTCATCTCTAAACATCAAATTAGAATCCGTTAAAGAAAGAAACTAAATTAGAAGATTGAATATGAAAGTCTTGGAGAACACAATCATCTTTATGAAGATTGAATCTCAACAAAAAGAAATCCATCCTTTTAGAATAATATATAAGAAAATCCATCACTTTCGAAGATTGAACCAGAGATCATTATTTTTGTCTTCAAAAACACCATCATCTTCAAGAATATATTAAAAGATTGAATATCAGCAAAAAAATAAACAACCCAAATGAAGAAACCTCTTTTTAATTCGTTATAAATTACAACTTGAAATATAAATTCAACAGATATGAAAGATTCAAATCTAAAGGTAAACAAAAGATAGATGTATTTGAGAGAGCTACTATGTACCTTGACTTTTACATGACATGGGTGGAAAATGTTGTGTTGGTGTTCATAAGGGTAACCCTAAAAAGCTGATTCGCTAAGATCCTCCCTAAATCATTAAGCTGCTTGACAACTTCCAAACACTCCAAAAGGCTGACCGAATAAGCTAAAGGGCTCATTACGTTACTTTTCCCTAAGTGTAATTCACTCATTTATTTATTTTATATAGAGTAAGCTACAAATTTAGTTTCTATAGTTTGTCTAAAAATAACACTTTTCGACTCTACAGTTTCGAAATTACAAGATGACCGTCTTGCCTTGTAAAAAAGTACATATTTGGTTCCTTTTTCTAACGACTGTTAAAAAGTTATGTTAAATGAGACACATCTTTGTTTTTTTCTTGATTTTCTTGTCTTTTATTTGATCAAAAGCCATATGAATTAAAACCATAAAATTTTGATTGAGTAAAAGACAAAGAAATCGGTAATAGAACAAAAATGCATCTCATTTGATGATTTTTTTTAACTGTCGTTAGATAAAGGGATCAAATTTAGATATTTTTACAAATCATTATGACCATCTTATAATTTTGAAACTATAGGAATGAAAATTGTTATTTTTGACAAACAACATGGACCAAGTTTGTATTTTACCCTTCTATATATTTTTCTATATACCCCTGTGTGTGTTGTTGCGTCACGTTCCGTCTCCTTTATATATGCATAACAAATTAGTCAAGAGGTCTGCGTTTGAGCATTTCAACTCGATATCCTGCAAAATCGTCGCATTTGGTGAGCATCTCTATCTAAATACTGCTAATTGGAGTCGATCTTTTTTTAAATTGGAATATGAATTGCTTCAGTTTTTGTGTATCTATGTTTGGGATGGATATGATCATAATTTAAATTTCGACCAATGCTTTCTCTAGATCGTTACATGTGTAGATTGGATAGCATACTATGTGTTTGAGGAAAAACCTGCTTTAGAAGCTATTTATGGATCATGCCTTCCATTGTTGATAACTGGTGAATTGGGGATCAAGGGATCATAGGGTGATTTTGTTTTCTCAGAATTCTATCTGAGATACACAACTTGTAAACCCTATAAGTTTTTTATATCAAGGGTATCAACCATATTCATATTTTCTGTTGTCAAAATGAATTGGTAATCATGTTCAATTGGTTGAAAACTGTACATTGCTTTTCTATGGGCTGTCTTTTCCTATTTCCATTGATGGGATATCGTTTTTCTTACTGTTTCTGGAGTTGAAATGATCCTGAGTTTGTAATAGTGAGGTTGGAGAGGGTAGGTTGGCATCTTTTTGGATCTTAAATTCTTAATTGTATATGTGTGGCTTTTTCCCAACTAGTACCAATAGGGCCAGCTCAACTCTAGTGGCTGTTATCTTCAGGTTCCATGGGATTAGTCGAGGCGCATGCAAGCTGACTCGGACACTCATAGTTACAAAAAACATGTTTCTTTGAACATGTGGTTGTGTTGAGAGTTAAAACTCATCGCTAACGGAAGTGTGTAATGATCGTTTTAGAATCACTACGATGTCAATTATTGTATGGTCACATTAAAGTAGTTTATTCCCATTTGTTGGAATATAGTGTGTGTTGCTCAATTAAAGTTTGGACTAAATGAGCCTCAATACTAATGTCCACACGTTGAACTCCATGCTCTGCATACAACCTGTACGCAATCATATTCTTTTTGCTGTATTATTTGTTTTAAAATCAGCTTTTGCTTTTGATTCACATTGCAGGTTCTGAGAATACGAATACCAAATTGAAAGAAAATGAGTGGAGATGGGGATCAGAATGGACAGGACAAAGGGCTTTTCGGTAATCTTGCTGGATATGCTGCTGGAGGTGGGCACTACCCTCCACAGCATGGTGGGGGTTATCCTCCTCAAGGAGGATACCCTCCACAGCATGGTGGGGGTTATCCTCCTCAAGGAGGATACCCTCCACAAGGAGGATACCCACCGGCTGGTTACCCCTCATCTGGTGGATACCCTCCCGCAGGATACCCCCCCTCTGGTGGTGGATACCCTCCCGCAGGATATCCTCCCTCTGGCGGTGGCTACCCTCCGCAAGGCTATCCACCTGCTGGCTATCCCGGTCAATCAACTTCACACCATTCAGGAGGTTAGTTGCTGTTGTCACCATTAACTCAAAAAACACTTCATTGCAATTGACTTTCACGCAACTGTTTCTTTCCTAATTTTAATTGTATCGCTAGTTTTCGTTATTACTTCACTTGTGCAATATATCTTCTACTGTAGGAACTTAGAAAGTTGGTCAAAAAAAGAAAGAAAGTTGGGAGTATGAGGTATTTTCTGTTTTACTTGGAAAAGTTAACCGTCTTGAAGGTTGACAGTTAACTAAATCTCACTTGTAGGGTAGATGCTAATCAAGACTTCAATGAATAAAAAGCATCCATTTTTGTTAAATTTGAAGACCCTTCGCATATTCAACCAAAAGTATCATTACATAAGTGAACATGGTTTTTCCTGTTTAGTTCTTAAAGAAACTAAACTGTATTTACCTGCCACATAATTGACCTGGGGTGGATTTGTTGATCATCTTTAAAACAAGAGCGCTATTTGCCATTTTTGTAATGAAAGATGCAGATGATAATCTTGTAGTTCCAGTCTTTTCGACTTCAACTATGAAAGATTAGTGATCAGGATTGTTGAAATGGTTGGTTTAGGACATGGACCTGGTATGGGAACCGTGCTAGCTGGGGGTGCAGCTGCTGCGGCTGCCGCATATGGAGTTCACCATCTTACTTCTCATGGTCATGGCAGCCACATGTCTCATGGAGCCCATAACATGATGGGCCCAATGGGACACTATGGTGGTGGCAAGTTTAAGCATGGTAAGCACGGTGGCGGTAAATACAAGCATGGAAAGCACGGGAAGCATGGGAAGTTTGGTAAGCACAAGGGCAAGCACTCTGGCTACAAGAAATGGAAGTGATTTTCATTCGAGTGATTGAACTTTGTTCGTATGATCCTACCCTGGTTTGCTCTTTTCAGGCATACGATATACAGGATTCAACATGTTATGAAATGATTGTAAGTTTGAAAGCGTTTGTAATAAAAACTTAGAAGTCATGATTTAAGTTGATTCAGTGTTAAATGGGAAATTGATAAAAGAACTGGTAATCCTACAAATGGGCCAAAATGGCTTTTGATTTGATGGTTACTGTTGAATATAGTCTTCAATGTGGGAGTTTTGCCCCACATAATAAGGAAAGTGGAACATTTATTGTTTACATGCTATTCTACTTGGATCATCAAGGTAAAGAATTATTGAGCTAAGCAAGTTGAACCGTGAGTGTTAATTGGTGGTTATGTTCCGGTTGGTCGAACCCTGAGTGTTAAGTGTTAACTCGTGGTTAAGTTGGGTTTTTGATTTATAATCAACTAGAGATGGCAAAAAAAAAACCAAAGACCGAAACTTTCGGGACGGGGCGGGGATCGGGGATAAATTTGGGGATTTTAACGGGATCACCGGCCCGGCCCGATGTGTGTGTTATATATATATATATATATATATATATATAATATCATTAAAAGAAAATAATAACATTAAAATTTAAAAGACTTTTATCCAATTTACCCAATACTTTGAAATTTAAAAAATAATTGTATTAAATAACAATATATATTTACCCAGTTTTTATATTCATCATTGAACTACAAAAACGCTCCGTACTTTAAAAAAATGTGCGTTACTCATCGGGTTACGTGTTGACCTTTAGTTGTTGACATAAAGCGTCTTTTACGGATTCATGTTGTTTATACATATAGAATCTTATATATATGGCTGGAGTTTTACGCGTTGAATTGTTTTGGAGAACAAATTCCAACATCAAATCATCCTTATTCCTATGATAAAGATATGCTTCTGTTCACCCTTATACTCGTATCGTAAAGTGGAATCATATTGATTTAGGCCTAGTCTTTAGATCCGGAAAAAGCCCGATTAAGGCCCAGTTCAAGACCAATCAACGCGGTTATGGATACAAGGGTTGATATGCAATTTTGGACAAAAGTAGGGGCTCACATAATAAAGCTAAATATAATAAGAAAAGAAGGTTAATTGGATCTTTATATGTGAATAATTAAAAATTTCGAAAAAAATCTAGTGGAACATGTATGTTTTAACTGACACTACAAACTATTCATATGAGTTTACGTATTCACCTTCAAATGATTCACATATGAATGTTTTCTTAATTTACTTTCTGATGATATTTAGCTTTCTTATTTGAACCGACACCTAGGACAAAATGCGTCAAAATTAACGAAATTCGTCGTAGTTGATATTTAGGGGCCGTTTACTAAACACTTACCCGGTAAGTGTTGATCGGGTAACTTTCCTCACCTGATGCACATGGCAAGGGCCGAAAATCTTACCTGGTAAGAGCGATGATAAAGATCGAAAGTCTTACCTGGTAAGTGATTGTGAGAACTCTTACCCGGGTAAGCGTTTACCGGGTAAATTATTGCATATCATACTATTTTAATATACTACAATCTTATCTGATAAAATAGATTATGGTGTTGACTTCCAACAATAACTTTTTTTTTCTCAATTAATGTTATATTTTCAATTCTTTTTATTTCTTATATATTTTCTTTATAAACGGGCATCAATCTACATAGAATCAATTAATTTTGATGTCATATTATTGCACATAATTAATACTGCATAATCAAATATGAACCACACAAAAATTGATTAATGTAAAAACTTTTATTTAATGTAGTGTTTCATTTGTTTTTTTAGTCTGAGGCTAGGATTTAAGTTATGAAAAGACATATATTTGTTTCATAATATGAAACTCTTTTACGTGTATCTTTTGCTTCATTTAACATAAAAAAGTTTCACCTTGTGAAACAAATATATGGTACTCAATACTTTAAATTGTAGTCTTTGATGAAAAAAAAATCATATGAAATAATGCATGATACCAGTGGCAGACCCAAGATTTTTGTTGAGCGAATGCACCTTGTGAATCAGAGGCCTGCAAAGTCTTCTGAAGTCTTTTTTGCCCTAAGATATCTTTTAAGTTTTTTTGGTGATTTTGAGAGACTTTTCCGGGTTTTGTTTTATGACTTTAAGAGACTTTTTCGGTCTTTTGATTGATTTCAAAAGAATTTTTCGGTTGGCATCCTTTGTATCTTCTAAGATCCGAGAGCTATTATTCATAGTTTAGCATTTACATCTTTCACACCCAAAAACATTCTACTTGTGAAAATCGGTTTAGCGAGTGCACTATACCTTGCTTGGGCCGTCATAAGTCCCCCCCCCCTCCCCTCCCCTCCCCTCCCCTCTTCTGCTGCATGATGCACACGTTCTAACGATTTGCAACCTTTTTGTGGGTATCACAAGATTAACCCTCCATAATAAAATAAAAAGAATTAATCGTATATTTACCCCTCCAGAATAAAACAAAAAATAAATGAGCATCTTGGCAATTTACACATGTTTTATTCTCCATTATTAAAGAACGTGTGAATCAAATTAAAGAGGGATTCCCGCCTTCCTATATAACAATCTCCTCCTCCATGATCTAATTAAAGCTGATTAAGAACAACCTGCAAGCTTCATTTGGTTAGTGATCATCATATCTCTTCTTCTTTGATTCATTCTTCACTCTATTTTTGCTACTTTATCCTACTCTATCAATTAATTAGGTTAAAAACAGCTAACGATGATCAAATGTTGGTACAAAATCCCCTTTTTTGGTTCGATTGCATGTCTATTGATGTCTTTTTTCTGTTGTTTGTATCTGGAAATTGAGTTTTTGATTCGATTGATCAGATTTTAAGGTGTTCATCTTCGTGTTCTTGGTAGTTGTTAAACGAATTCACCGTTTGATTTGTCTCCGCAGGGTAATTCTCTGCTTCATTTGAAAAAACAATACGTTTTTATTTCAGATAGTCCAGAAGCGAGTGAAACTACTTCATATATGAATAGATTTCATCAAGTCAATCCAAATTTTAACAAATAGAAATCATATTTATGATGTTATTAGTGTTGGTGTTCCATGTATTCTCATATGGTATCAGAGCCAATATATACCACCCTAGTACTCAGACACTTTGGGTACAATTTGTACAGGTCTTGCCCCTTCTTGACACTTTGAGACGATTTGTGCCCGTTTGTTGGAGTCTCGCATCAGCTAGACTTGAATCATTTCTTCTTTATATACATTGAAACCTACCTTCACTCTTCAAGAGCTGTTCTAAAAAGTAATCTAACGAGGTTTCACATATTGTCAGTATATTAACATCAAATGCTTTTTAAGAATCATACTTGTTTTTTTTTCTCTTTCTAAATCATCTTCTATATATGTTGTAATCGTCATTTCAGATTTTGCCAAAGGAAACATCAAGACCAAGAAAGATGGGTAGTGGGTATAATGGGGAGAAAGGACTGTTTTCTCATCTTGTTGGATATGGTGGTGGTGGTGGACATTATCCTCCACAACATGGAACATATCCTCCTCAAGGATATGGTTATCCTTCTGGTGGATACCCTCAAGCCAGTTATCCTCCTTATGGTGGATATCCACCACAAACCACTGGTGGTTATCCTCCCGTAGCCTATCCTGGTTCATCTGCTCCATATCATCATTCAGGTTGCTTTTTTAGTACTGGAAAAGCTATTGCATGTTCTCCTTCCCATTATCATTGCTATCAAATGTCCTCATTTTAATCATGGGTGAAAAAAAGTAGCTTCACAATGTTCAAGTGTACTAATAGACTGCTATATAGGACTTAAGTTTATAGGACCAAACAATAAAGCGTCATATTTAAAAGGGTTCGTAATAAGTTTGTAGGAGGCTTTTGGGCGTTTTAACATGTTTTTTAGGACATTATTAAAAATAAAACGTCGTATTAACTATTTAACTAGACACTTTTGAGAAGTTTCCTATGAACATATCTTTTTATAGGACACTTTTTTCAATGTGTGAAGTTATCCTCATGAGAAATCCTGAACAGGGCATGGAGGCACTGGTATGGGATTCCTAGCTGGTGGTGCAGCAGCTGGAGCTGCTGCATATGGGGCTCATCATGGGTACGGATCCCATGGTCATGGATCCTATGGTCATGGATCCCATGGTTATGGTGGTTATGGGCAACACCACGGTAAGTTCAAGCATGGAAAGTTTGGTAAGCATGGAGGAGGCAAGTATGGAAACCACAAGATGTGGAAATGAGTTTGATTTATTTGTGTATTGTGTTTGCCCTCTGAGTTTGTTTACTGTTCTTCGAATAATTTGTTTACTGGTTTGTAACTAGAACTCTACAAAGAAGTAGTTGATTTGGTAATAAAAAGGAAATAAGAGGGCAAACTTTGTTAGAACTTTTGTGGATCATTTATTAGCAAGTCATTAATTTGTATCATTTTATTGTCTGGCTTTTAGCCGGTTTTGCATTGTGCATAATGGTAAGTGTGTATCTTTATGGCAAGCCATGCGATGTTGTCGCTCGAGACTTTGATATTGTAAACCTCGGAATCTGAATACACACTACTACAGAATAAGTAATAAAACTTGGTTGCAAAACTAGATGGTATCTGGTTGTGCAATTGAGTCCTATTGAACAGGGGTCATTATCATGTACAACGTAGATTTCCTTTGTACCTTGAAAAAACCCTGTTCGCTGCTCACTCTTTTGTTACCCCTTTAAAACCTCCGTCTTTGGCACCAATTTAGAGATGGACAAACCGGCTAACCAACCAACCAGTTCCCTAACCGGTTCCTACCTTTTCCAGTTCCTTAGCGTTCCATTTTTGACTCCGGAAATCTTAGCCAATCATGCCTTAACCGATTCCGTGGTGGTTGTTTTTTAACTCTATCTTTTCTTATATAATTTAAACTATAACTTACGTGAAATAACTTTTTTGTATATTATCCGAGAAAGACAATTTAGCATGTCATAAGTAATTGTTTATTTGATTATAAATAAAAAATGGTACACTTCGAAAACTTGTACAAGTTGTTTAAAAATCACAAGTATTTAATACATGAAAATTGTTTAAAACCGTTAGAGACTTATCCTCATCTCATGGTTCGAAATCTGGAGGTTCAACATGAAGTAGTTCATCTAACTCTTCCCCCTCCATTGTTGGTGGAGTCTATTTATACCAAAAATTACACAAAACAATTTAAGCTATGAATTATAGTGCTTATCAACTATAGATTAAACCTTTGAGAAATAAATAAACGAAACAGAAAAGACAGCCTGTCGAGTATAAAAACAACGGACAATCATGGCTATCGTCAATGCACTATGGACGTCAATAAGGGACGCCATCCTTAATAACCGTGGTCGCTATTACAGAATGTCGTTAATAAAGCATGTCGTAAGTAAAGTAAATATATGAATATTTCGATAGTAAAGGATTCTTCGAGAGTGAGTAAGAGTACACTCGATTCAGTGTCTTTTTGGAATGAATTGATCTTCATATTCATACTCTAGTATTTGTAACGGGTGCTTTGATGCTCTTAATGTTGGTAAAGGTCAACGTTGACGCTGTCATTGAAGCTTGGTCGTCGGTTCCAATCTTCATATCGATGAGTGACTCTTTATCATTAATCTTCGTTTACATTTGATATATGTAATAAATACGAAAAGTAATGGTTGTTGAGGTTAATCAAGATGAAGTCTAGTCATGGTTACAAATGGTAGTATGTCGAGGATATCATGGTCAAGGATATTATCCTAGGCCATCGTCGTTTTAGATTTATCTCAAACTCAACCACAATTCACCAACACCTCAATACCGAATTCGCATGATGCCATATCAACACCTTTTGGTTCTTCTTTAATATATATAATATAAAATTAGTTATGCAAAAAATAGGGTCATCCAAATAAGATAACCTTATGACTCAAGTGTCATGGGCGAACACGATATAAGATTTGTTTTGCAAAAGCAATACGTGAACTTCTTAACAAAAGGGGGGAAGTAAATTTTCTCAAACATCTATCAATAGCATATATGCTTTTACATTTCCTTGATTGCATAGGCTACTTATTAATCAGTTGAGCACAAAGCATTCATAGAAAGCTCACCACAGTATACTCTAATAAAAAGAGGCAGTGCATATTCCCAAGAACTGTGACCATAGACATTGGCATGCTGCATATACTAAACCACAAAATGTGTTATATTTTCTGTAACCCCAACTAATGATAACATATTCTATTGCATACATCTTCCAATAACATCATTAGCAAAATGAAGCATCATGTACGATTAAATGCATAGTACTCTTAAGAACTATAACACACCTTACTGATTTTGGAAAATGCTCAAACATCTCCACAATCAGCCCATCACATTCAAGATCAAGCATGATCACACATGATCTGACTTTGGAAACGGTTTCAAGAATTGAGGCCCTCTTCTCACAGCTAAATGCTCAAAGGAAGAAACAGTCAACTGAAAGACATCCTGTGCATGCAGAAGAGTTTTAGAATGTGAAGGCAAAAAATATAGGACATGAAGTAACAACTGTTGTGTTAGTGTACCCTCATTTGGTCATCAGTGTATGGTGCGTTAGGTGCTGTAATTCTCGTTATTTCACTGATGCAGGAAGCAACTGCAACCTTCACATCGACATCTGAATGTCTTGAAAGACCATCCTGAATCAACGCCTTCGTTGATGGTTTGAGTGCATCTAGCATTGGCTTTTTTGGAGACTGGTCCACCTTTGATAGAAGTTTCTCTACTTGCTGAGCAGCACAGACAAAAGACATAATTAGATGGACTAATGTTGAAACCAATAACATTCAAATATTTTATTTATTGAAAAGTAAGCAGGAAGAACATACATGAACATATTACAACTTATTTGTATAAAGATCTAACTCTAATAAAATGAATAGACAAAGAACTAAAACTAATGAATAATTGCGAGAACAAGAACTAGAGAGAGAGAGAGAGAGAATTTTCGTAACTGATTTCAAAATGAAAAAGTGAAAATGTGAGCTCAAATCAGCTTTGAAAGGCTTTATATATTTTTCCATACAAGCCAACTTTGCCCCTTCAAGATTTGTCAACCAGACTCCGCTACCCTTGTACATCTCCCAAATGTGAGGCGCATTCCTCCTCATTTTCCGAACAACGACAATTTCCAAACTTGACATAATCTACCCTAACCTGTTAACATTTTAACAAATAAGGACAAAAGTCAAGTTAGTCAAGATTGCAAAATATATACCTTTTAACACCTGCCCTCAATCTTGACTTTTAAACAGATCAATCATTCTTAACTTTGAACCCAAATAGTTGTGATGATTTATATTGAGAGCTTTTGTTAAAATGTCCGCTGTTTGTTCAAAAGAAGAAACTTTTATTATTTTAAAACACCTCTACTGATCTTTTCACGAATATAATGAACATCTATTTCAATGTGCTTAGTGCGCTCGTGAAAAACAAGATTATTTGCTATTTGAATAGCAGATTTATCGTCACAAAACAGACTAACAGGAAGGTCTTTTATTTCTAGATCTGAAAGTATTTTAAGGACCCAAAAAGTTTCACAAGATATAGACGCCATGGCTCTATATTCAGATTCTGCAGATGAGCGAGAAACAATATTTTGTTTCTTGCTCTTCCACGAGACTAAAGAATTCCCAAGAAATAAACAATAACATGTAACAGAACGTCTAATAGACAAACACTTACCCCAGTCAGCATCTACAAAAACATTTAGATTAAAATGTTCTGACCTTGTAAAGCTTACTCCTTTTCCAGGGGAGAGTTTAAGATACCTGAGAATTCTAAGAGCTAGGTTTAAATGAGATTGTCTAGGAGCATGCATAAACTGACTTAAACAATGAACAACAAATGTTATATCAGGTCTAGTTGCAAGAAGATAAATCAATCTACCAATTATTCTTTGATATCTTGTACAATCAATAAGAGAGAATCTTTTGAGTTATTGGAATCTGATATAACTAAATTTGTATCCATAGGAGTACTTGAAGGTTTACATCCCAAATATCCAAAATCATTTAATAATTCTAAACAATACTTTCTTTGGGACATACAAACACCATCAATACAATCAAGAATTTCAATTCCTAAAAGGAATTTCAATTTTCCCAAATCTTTAATAAAAAATTTCTTTTTAAGTACTCTTTGAAATCATTTATTTCTTTCAAACTATTTCCTGTTATCACAATATCATCCACGTAGACAAGAAGAACAAGAAAAGCAGAACTTACATGCTTGGTAAACAAAGAGTAATCGCTAATACTCTGCACAAACCCATTTTCAATCAAGCAAGCAGAAAGTTTGGCATACCATTGACGAGGTGTTTGTTTTAAACCATATAAAGACTTTACCAATTTACATACATGTGTATAATTGGAACTGTAATACCCTTCGGGAAGTTCATATAAACATCCTCAACTAAGTCACCATACATAAAAGCATTATTAACATCTAATTGATATAAAGGCCAGTTAAATTGAACAACTAAGGCAATAAATACATCTAACAGTAACCATTTTTACTACGGGAGAGAAGGTCTCTTCGTAATCAAGTCCTTCTCTCTGACTATAACCTTTAGCAACTAACCTAGCTTTATATCTTTCTATTTCCCCAGTGGACTTATGTAATATTCGGGTTGTGTTAATCAGTTAATTAGATAATTAACTTCGGGTTATTCTAATTAACAACTTTTGAATTCCATGAGTATGGAAGAAAAGTAAATTTTTGGTTTATTATTATTAGAAAGAAAAGGAGAATAAGGGG